AACTTTTTTAACGGACCCCGTATACTTATTTTGAAAATCTTTTTGGATTAAAAAAGTTTAAATGATTCAAACAATACAATAAAATTTTTTAATATTTTATGTCGATCTTGCTCAAATTATCCACCGCGAAGCGTATCTAACATTGTGGTGACATATGGTAGTGGGTAAGCGTCTTTTTTTGGTAACTCGGTTTAGGGTCCTAAACTATCCTGATTGTCAATCGCAAAAACTTCATTGGGAAAGATTTTTGAAGAACTTCCGACTACTTAACAACATGAGTTTAGGTCCGCTAACTTTTTTAACTGACCCCGTATACTTTTTTTTAATTTCATGGGTTCTATTTTTGTAGTATATGCTGTCTTTTTAGATTGAAATATACAGGGTGCTTAATTAAAAAATTAAGTTAGTCCCGTTAACTTTTTAACTGACCTCGTATACTTATTTTGAAAATCCTTTTTAGATCTATTTGAATCAATAGCGAATGTTTGGAGTTTCTTAGTGTTATATTTTTGAAGTATATGCTATCTTTTTAAATTCAAATATACAGGGTGCTTCATTAAAAAATTAGGTTAGGTCCGATAACTTTTTTAACTGATCCCGTATACTTATTTTGAAAATCGTTTTTGGATTAAAACAAGTTTAAATGATTCAAACAATACAAAAATTCAAAATTTTTAATATTTTATGTCGATCGTGCTCAAATTATCCACCGCGAAGACTATCTAACATTGCGGTGACATATGGTAGTGGGTAAGCGTCTTTTTTGGTAACTCGGTTTAGGGTCCTAAACTGTCCTGATTGCCAATCGTAAAAACTTCGTTAGGAAAGATTTTTGAAGAATTTCCGACTATTCTCAATTAGTTTCAAAAATGACTACAACTTATGAAACATTTTCAAAGGAAAACCACTCGTATCCAACATTTTGGAAACGATCACTTTTTGAAAATTCAACTACCCCCATCTTGAGCATCCCCAACCCATCTCCCATTACTCTAAATTCGAACTTTTAAGACACATTAAGAGCCGTCTTGGAAAGTCTCCAGGAGCTTCCAGAGATCAGAGACAGCCAATCTTTGATGTATTGTTTAAGTAAGTAGGTACCACGAGTTTCTAAGAAAGAGTCTTCGAGAGTCGCGGTAATCTTTAATGGTGTAACGAATATTTTAGAAATCTAGAGACATCGGGGCGCCATCATGTCGGTAAAAGATTTAAGTGACCGTCGATAAGAACGCATTCTTTCCTTCTAGACTATTCGAGAATGTTCCGCGATTTTTTCTAGAAACTTCATTTGATATATAAGCAAATTGAATTATGTTTAAAGGCAGTTCCAATATCGATGTCGAAGTGATTATTAGAGATGTTCGCGGTCGTATGTGATATGATACAGCAGTGCAATCCGGAAAAAATGCAAACAATTGACGTTAAGATATACAGGATGTGGCATTAAAAAAATACCAACTTCGGGTCAAATCTCAGAAAAAGTAGTCGAAAATTTTTTACGCCAATGGATTCTACGTAAAAATATCTAAAATAAACAGTTTTTACCTTTTTCATCTTACATAGGTAGTAAGATGAAGCTTCTGGCATGAGATTCTAACAATCCTTTAATGCTCTTCAAAAGAAACTTCTTAAAGGCCAAATGAAGGGTTCTAAAAGCCTTTAGAAGACCTTTATAGTTGCATTGAAGCTTCTGGAATGAGACTCCAAAGATCCTTGAATGCCCTTCAAAACAAACCTTTAAAAAAGGGTAAATGATTTCGAAAGAGCCCGTAAGTGTTATAAAAGTCTTTCGAAGACCTTTATAGTTTCATTGAAGCTTCTGTCATGAGATTCTAAAATCCTTAAAGGCTCTTCAAAACAATTCTCTTACAGGGTAAAAGATTTCTAAAGGTCCCCTAAGGATTCTAAAAGCCTTTGAATGCCTTTATAGTTTATTGAAGTTTCTGGCATGAGATTCTAAAAATCCTTCAATGCTCTTTAAAACAAATCTCTTACAGGATACAGGATTTCTTAAGGCCTCTTAAAGGTTCTAAAAGCCTTTGAATGTTTATAGTTTCATTGAAGCTTCTGACATGAGACTCTCAAATCTTTGAATGCTCTTCACAACAACCTCTTAAAGGGTAAGAGATGTCTAAAGGCCCCTTCAGGGTTCTAAAAGCCTTGGGAAGACATTTTTATGAAGCCTCTGGGAATGAGACTCCAGAAATCCTTGAATACTCTTCAAAACGAACCCTTCCTAAAGGGTAAAGGAATTCTAAGGGCCCATTAAGGGTTCTAGAAGACTTTTATAGTTTTATTGAAGCCTCTGGAATAAGACTCTAAAATCCTTGAATGCTGTTCACAACAACCTCTTAAAGGGTAAAACATTCTTAAAGACCCTTTAAGGGTTCCAAAAGCCGTTAGCAGACATTCTTAGTTTTATTTAAGCTTCTAGAACGAGACTTTAAAATTCCTTGGATGCTCTTCAAAGCAAATCTCTCATGGGGCAAATGATATCTAAAGGCCCCTTAAGGGTTCAAAAGCCCTTGGAAGAATTTTATAGTTTCATTGAAGCTTCTGGAACGAGATTCTAAAATTCTAAGAGATTCTAAAAGCCCTTGGAAGAGTTTTGTAGTTTCATTGGTTCTTCTGGAATGAGACTAATAATTCTGGAATGCTCTTCAAAACAAACCTCTTAATGGGTAACATATTTTTAAAAGTCCCTTAAGATTCTAAAAGCCTTTAGAAGACCTTTATAGTTGCATGGAAGCTTTTGGAATGAGACTCTTAACACCCTTGAATGCTCTTACAGGGTAAACGGCTTCTAAAGGCCTCTTAAGGGTTCTAAAAGCCTTTGAATGCCTTTATAATTTCATTGACTAAACTAAACATCTTTGAATGCTCTTTAAAACAAATCTCTTACACGATACAGGATCTCTGAAAGTCCCTTAAGGGTTTTAAAAGCTTTTTGAATACTTTTATAGTTTCGTTGAAACTTTTGGAATGAGACCCTAAAAATCCTTAAATGCTCTTAAAAACGAAACAGTTTAAAGGGATTATAAAGGCCCCTTAAGGGTTTTTAAACCCTTTGAAAGCCTTTATAGTTTCATTGGAGCTTCTGGAATCAGACTCTAAAAATCCTTGAATGCTCTTTACAACAAATCTCCGCAAATCTCTTACAGGGCAAAGGATTTCTAGAGGGGCCTTAAGGGTTATCAAAGCCTTTTGGTCTTATAGTTTTATTGAAGCTTCTGAAATGAGACTCTAAAATCTTTGAATGTTCTTCATTCACATCAACCTCTAAAGGGTAAATGATGTCTAAAGGCCCCTTAAGGGTTCTAAAAGCCTTTGGAAGATAGTTTTATTGAAGCTTCTGGGAATGAGACTCTAGAAATGCTCTTCAAAACAAACCTCCTTAAGGGTAAACGATTTCTAAGGGTCCATTAAGGGTTCTAAAAGCCTATAGAAGACTTTTATAGTTCCATTGACAATTCTGGAATGAGACTTTAAAGTCCTTGAATGCTGTTCACAACAACCTCTTAAAGGGTAAAACATTTCTAAAGGCCGCTTAAGGGTTCCAAAAGCTTATATATAATATTATAATAGTTTTATTGAAGCTTCTAGAACGAGACTTGAATGCTCTTCAAAGCTAACCTCTCAAGTGGCGAATGATGTCTAAAGGTCCCTTAAGGGTTCCAAAAGCCTTTAGCAGACATTGATAGTTTTATTGAAGCTTCTAGAACGAGACTTTAAAAATCCTTGAATGCTCCTCAAAGCTAACCTCTCAAGGGGCAAATGATGTCCGAAGATTAAATTTTTTTTTTACATGGAAATTCTCTGTTCGGCTTTTATCACCGTCTTATTAAGCACAAAAATACGGGCAACCTTGTATAAAGTATTTTAAAAGTTCTCGGTTTTCGAAATATGCATTGGCTATATAGTGTGTTCGAGATGAGAGGGTCTGCTCGGTATCTTATTGAGCGAGATACGAAAAATTTGCCAAATATGCATATTTTTATATGTGACGTAAATATCGATCCGATCGTATATTGGAACTATGCGATATCTAAAAATAGGGGGTTTCCATTTGAAAAACATTTCATTAGTTTTTGAACCCCCTGTATTTAATCAAAATATCAACACAGTTGATTAAAGAGGAAAGAAATGGGCGATTATGGTTTGAGGTGCAAACGCTATGTGAAATCAGAAATGTATATTACAATCTAAAAATATCATCCAAAGGGTGTTTCGTTTCAAATAAGAAGGTTGTCATCAACTACCGATATAAGCGGAAGACAAATGTTGAAAATATTCCGAGACCTCCTTTTTGAAGTATAGAAGGCCGGTATTTGGTGGGACACCCTGTATTGTTAATGCGTAAATATAGAATGAGTCAATAAAAGTAAGCGGTGTTTAAAATACGTGCTAATAAATAATAATAAACAGAAGTTGTCTCAATAGTGATCCTTGAGGAACTCCACTAGTGCGAAGATAACTAGCCGAGATTTCGGTTTATATTAAACACATAAAACAAAGCGATCTCTGTTAAGAAGTCGAGCCATGCATGCATGAATTGGAGGTGGCTATGACTCGCCGGATCCAGTTTCATTCCAACCAAAGTATGCACGTTACTTCCGGGTGTCGTTCACCCTCGCCGTACAGAACTAAAGCTCTCCTCGTGAAACAAATACACAACGGTACGCCGCCCGCCCGCCGCCTGCTCGTCCCATTCAACGCCGAAGAATGCGCACGCTTAACTGTATCTCATTTGAAGCTCTTTTCAACACCGGCCATATTTAAAAATGCCACCTCCATTGAGAAGACCCCGCGTGTTTCGAATTACATAAAAAATATCTGTTAACTGTGTCAATGTTAGGTCAACCGGCGAGGTCGGTCGTATGACCAAACCGAATCAGGTGCGCACACTTTTTTTGCGTAAGAGCACTTTCCATCACGCGAAAGTTAGCGTTTTTTTTTGGGTAAAGCAATAAAAAGTGTAATCTCTTTTTTTTCTGTTGCAGTAAACCTCTCCGGCCTCGGGCGCGTCGATATGTCCAATTTTGAACTTCTGAAGGTGCTGGGAACTGGAGGTAAGTGTCTCGCTCGACGAACGCACGCAACCTTGCCCCAAAGCCGACCGAAACTCTTTTCTTTTCGCATCCGCGGGACCGTTAACTTTAGGCTTCAAGGTGATCACCCCGTGCAGGTACCGTTTTCGACACCGGAACAGTTTTCTCCTCAATTTCCACAGCGCTTTTTATCCGTCATTTTCTAATTCTAGTTCAGTCGACCTACATTTACAGCTCGACGGCCGTAACTGCGGTTGTTTAGAAAATGCGTGACATGTTTTTTTTTGTTCTCTATTACCCACTCGCGATTGAGGTGATTATTGCCTAAAATTCGCAAGCGTCGTTAGACAAGTAGGCCGCTGGGATATGCTCGAAAATATACCCGAATCGAAATCCTGGAAGAATCGGTAAAGCCAGTAGATAGATTGAACGCGCACGGGCCCACTTTGAAACCCCGGGGCACTCCTTTGCGCAGTAATAAACGTCCCTTTGCGTCGGCAACTGATAACTTTCAATCCTTTTCTAATCCGAATTAAATTTTATGCGTTTCGTGATGCCAGGTGGTTCCTTTGGACTCGAAAATTTTACCATTGAACATCAGATGTCTTCAAGGCGTGTAATAAAGGGAATTTTACTTAATTTTTCGGATATTAATCCCTTGGTCTGTGAAAGTTCTCGGAATCTCTTGGCAATTTCTTGGAATTTTTATTAAAAATGGGGAATGTTTAAATCTCTAGGAATTATCTTGAGTTTTTGTGCATTTCAGACAGCTAGCTATTAGAGAAAGGAAGGAATCTGAAGGACTAAAAGCGACTCCTAAGGATCTTAAAAGGTTTTAACGAATTTTGAGGACTCATAAGAGCTGTTAGATTACCATCTCGAAGCGTGTTAAAGGGTCTCAAAGACCCTAAAGACTCTAAAAGCTTCCAAGAAGCTTCTTGGACTCTTCTGGAGACTTTTTTTAAGGAACTCTTTAAGACGGCTCTTTAGGGAATCTTAATCGTCTGAAAGGCTCTCCAAGATTCGACATTTCAAAATAAATGTATAGAAAAAGGGTGACTTTGGGAAATCGGATCTCATCGACACCAAATGTTAGGATGACCTCACAGGCTGCGGAGAAACGTCCTCCATAGCCACGTCCTGAAACCAGGATTGTGCTTCTTAGGGCGCGTGAAGATGGTGACCGGGTCATCTAGGAGCCCATATCACACAGCCATCACCTTGGTTGCCCTGCTTATGAACTTTCAGAGACGCGTCATCCGACGAAAGCCATAATGTACCTCGACTGAGGCTCCATGAGTCCTCCATCTCCGTGACGATGGCCGCCCTGAGCCCCGTCGCACTGACTTGCCTATACATTTGTGATACACCCTCAACTTTGGGTGCTCCAGAACTTCTAGACTTGTATTCGGGCTGCCCTGAGCCAGACTTTGGATTGCTCCCCTCCGATCTCAGACGCTTGGTCCTTGACGTCGACTTGTCTCCGTGAGCCAACGACACAGCCTTGGGGTTTGGCTCGAAGATTTACCTGGCTTCCTGGCCATCGCCTTCTGAGCGCAAGTCCTATGAATGAATATGAGCTGACTCACTACCGGGTACTTGAATAAGACCCTGCTTTGGAGCCTGCCCCCTTACAGGACCCCTTTGGAGGGCCCGGATGTATACGCATCCCCCTAACCGCAATCCGGTGACGGTCCCGCTGGGTACCTAGTCCCCACTTATCACCTTTAGATTGTGTTTAATAGACTTTCCCACGACCTTCTATGTCGTTTCTAGACGACGAAATTTTGGGACGAGCCCTGGAAAGCCGCTAGAGGGTTCTAGTCCTAGAACTCTGCGAAAACCGCTTACGGCAACTTTTAGGAGTCCTCCCAAGTACTTAAAACACGCTTTCCAGAGCAAGGCGAGTCTAAGGAAGTTCTGGAAAGTACCTATGCAATTCTGAAAATGATCCGGAAGAGGCTAAAGTAAGTGATTTCTTGCGTCTTTTCTAGGGCTTAAGGCGAGCTGGTGTTGTAGCTCTGTTATTTTTTTAGTCAATAGTTTCTGGCTACAGCATGGTTTATAGCGCCAGTCCGTCGCGAGATAAGGCAGAATTAATGTGTTGTACGTGACCAAACTCCTAATTTAGAATCCGATCATATTCAGCGCACGTGAACTACCGAAGCAAAGGTTTTCGGTTACAGAGGTTTCTGGCAAATTGCTTTTCTGAAAGTGAAATTGTTGAAAGAAGATGAATTCTGTTGGCGGAACGAATAAATATGGCCGTTGGAACCGATGTCTCCATTTTGAAGACGTGTTTGTAGGTTGAAAAAGTGGGTATTAAGTCCATAGATTAGAGAGGTGCGCCGAAGTCGACCAAAGTTAGTCGGATCAAGTAATACAATAACCATAGGGTGCGGAAGTGGAGGAAAAAAATGAGAATGATAACTATATACAACAGAGAATGAATGAAAGAGTTAAACAAGTATAAATTGTGCACAACTCTTGTGCAGATAAAGCGCATTTTTTTAACCGAAATAGCTTTTGTTTTGACATCACCAATCTCTCTCGCCCTTTGTGAGTACCCTCTTCCGGCAATTCGTTCTTGAGGTATAAGGGAATATATCCGATCATAACAAGAGGTCGATGAGGAGGGTTATGGTTGGAAAAAATTAATTCCTTTCGTTGAGACCTTTCATAAAAGTACCATGAAGGATAAAAGTAGTTCCAACCCCCCCCTCCCCCTCCACCTCGTACTTTGATAAGAGGACAGAAAGAAGGGCAGTAGTTGGTTGAAAACGGTTCCTTTCGTTGAGACCTTTAATTAGAATACAATGAGAGACCTTTCACTAGCATACCATGAAGGGTAGAACATGTGTTTAACCCCCCCCCTCGCTCTAAACTTTAACTTGGCACCACTAAGGCATGCGTATGCAAAATCTGGGACCAATGGTTGTCGTATGTAAAAGTTATGCACGGGAAATAATTCGTGGGGGGGGGGGGGCTTTTAGACAGCTAAATTTATTGGCCGTCTGGCACACCTTCAAGATATAGGCTACCTACTGCAAAAGTTCCAGGACTCTAGGACGTAGAATTAGTTGAACACGGTAGAAGTGGGTCCGGATGGACGGACAAAACGCAAACAATAGCATATTTTTTTTTATTCTTAAGAAATGTGCTAAAAATAAAATAGAAAATGTGGTAGATGGAAGTAAAAAGGGGGGGCTAAGTGCTAGAACAGGGAATAAAGGAAATGGGTAGAAATGACAAGAGGAACATAAGGTTCAAGAGATAAAGAATGCAACGAAGAGGGAGAATTGTGACTGAAGTTTTAAACGAAAATATGGAGGGGGATAGCGATGGACAATACTCATATGTGGAACGAAGAGGAAGGGCGGTAATTGGTTACACAATATGAAACAAGTATAAATTGTGCACAACTCTTGGGCAGATAAAGCGCATTTTTTTAAAATCGAAATAGCTTTTATTTTGACATCACCAATGGATATATTTCTTCCAGACGTCTCAATCGCCCTTTGTGAGTACCCTCTTCCGACGATCCTTTCTTGAGGTATAAGGGAAAATATCCGATCACGATAAGAGGTCGAGGAGGAGGGCTATGGTTGGTAGAAATTAATTCCTTTCGTTGAGACCTTTCATTAGAGTACCATGAAGGATAAAACTAGTTCCACTCCTCCCTCCAGCCCGTCCTCTGATAAGATGGCAGAATGAACGGCTGTAGTTGGTAGAAAACGGTTCTTTTCGTGAAGACCTTTAATTAGAATACCATAAAGGGTAGAACATGTGCTTACCCCCCCCCCCCCCAAATTTTCTAAAGTTTAATTTGGCACCAATAAAGACATGCATATACAAAATCTAAGACCAATTGGTTGTCGTATTATGTAAAAGTTATACACGTTTTACTTTCAAAAACAGCATCTCAGGAAATAATTAGTGTGGGGGGGGGGGGGCTTTTAGACAGCGAAATTTGATTGCCGTCTGGCACACCTTCAAGGTATAGGCCACCTACTGCAAAAAAATCCAGGACTGTAGGACCATTCCCCTAGAAGTAGTTCGAAACGGCAGAAGTGGGTCCGGACGGACGGACGGACAAAACGCAAACAATAGCACATTTTTTTTAATTCTTAAAAAATGCGCTAAAAAATAAAACAGAAAATATGGTAGATGAAAGGAAGGGGGAGGGGCTTAATCTAGAACAGGGAATAAAGGAAAATGGGTAGAAATGGAAGGTTGGTAATTGATTATAATACGAAAAATATAAATAGTGGAAGAAATAAACGATTGTTATGTAGCAGAAAAGGATAGAAATGAGTCTAAAAGGGAAAGATCTAAAGGCGAAGCAGTGGAAACATATTATGGAGAGTATTAAAAATGCAATAACGTGGGAACAGGTGAATGAAGGGAAAGGGAGAGATAAAAGAAGTGTACAGCAGAGAGAAACAGATGCGGAACAATGACGGAGAAAGAAAGAAAAGGAGAGATGAGAAAACAGAAAAAAAAGTACAAAACAAAATGTAAGGAAAAAATGTGAAACAAATATGAAGAAGAAATCAGGGAAATAAAAACAGAAGAGGGCTTGGGGAAGCGGATAAACAGAGGGAAATGGGAAAATAGATATCAATTTAAATGACAGAATCGAAGAGTTCTATGGAGGGACCAGAAGCAGGGTAAAGATAGGAGGGGAGTCTTTTTACGTAAGTGATATGAAGAAAATATCAAGACAGGGTCAACGTGGAGGAGTCGTAGTGGGAAGAAGAAGATATGGTCCCTGGCATACGCGGACGACACAGTAATAATGGCAACACAGATGAAGGAAATGATGGGAAAAATTGACAGATATTGGGAGGGGGGGGGGGGGGCGGGTACTTAGGATACCAGATGTAACGAAACAGGAGGAAACGGAGAAGATAAGGAACGCAGTTCAGTAAGATTCGAGGGAAAGAGAATTGTCAAGGATGAACACAAAAGGAAACGAAGAAGAAATAGTGTGAAAGGAATGGATACGGATGGACAGAGGT